ATAATAAGTATAAGCTCAAAAGGAGAACCTATCCTAAAAGACTAACCTATTAGGTAGGAGACTCATATCATCTCCTTTGGTGATGATGGTTGTATCAAAGGATACAAGACTCTGAAATCTAAGTTTATCAACTGGAACTTAAGTTGCAATTCCAATAATTACCGTACAATAAGATCCGCAATTGTGGGAAGAAGATGCAAAATATTTTGACGTGTTGGATGCACTAAAAAATATTTCACGGTGCTAGATGTACTTAAAAAAATATTTCAGAGTGTTGGATGTATTATAAAATTTTTAGGGTGCCGGATGCTAAATACATCTTAATCCTCTATATATGTGTGTATATATATAGCCGTGGGACGATTATCTAATTATTCAGATCAGTGTTATATGCTTCTAGATGGCTCGCTTGGAAATTATATATTTTAATTTTTCGTGTTCTAGAAAATCACGAGTTTCTGTTGAAAATTCTCTAAAAGGAAGGTTCCTTCCATTGCTTTGGGTCAATGTAAGACTTTGACTAATTAAAAACATGTTTTTGACAAAAGGGCACAAGTGACGAGGGAGAGAGCCGCTGAAATAAAAAGGGGCCAAAAAAGAAATAAAAAAATGAAGAAAGAAAGAAAGAAAATCCCCTTAAATTGGGACCCCCTCTATTCTTCAAAGATCAGATCTAATGTGACCCATGTCCACTGATCTTCAGTGATCGTCGTAGTTTAATTTTAGTCCCCCAAACTCTGTTCTTTCTCCGTTTAGCCATGGAAGCTCTAGAAATCCCTTCACTGAGAGTTGCAAATTCTCTTATTGCTGGTATAGTTATCTTTGTGATAGTGGGAGTGATCGGAAGAGTGGTGAATTGGCTGTGGCTGAGACCGAAACGACTTGAGAGATATCTCAGAAGACAGAATCTAAAGGGAAACCCGTACAGGCTGGGGTTCGGAGACTTGAAGGAGATGTCTCAGATGATTCAAGAAGCCAAATCTAAGCCCATCAACTTAGACGATGAGATCATTCCTCGTGTCATTCCTTTTCGTCATCAACTGATTCAAAACTATGGTACACCCTTTCCTATGTTGTCCCCGTCTTCTCTCCTCTGTCACGTATTTCATCCGTGAGCCTTTGTTTGAGGCTCTGTTTGGTTGGAGGCTTGTAAGGGGAGCGAGGAAGAGAGAAATATTATGTTTAATATTGACTAAACTATTCATACTAGTTTTTTAATATTCTAAGTTTGTTTTTCTTATTAGAAACTCCTTTTCACCTCTTTTCTTTTTCTTCCATCTTCATTTGTCATATTTTCTTCTCTCATCAATTTTATATCTGGAGCATAGTTCACTAACGCTGTCGTCATTTCTGCCTCCTCCCCCTGCTCGTCCATCTCCAAATATATAATAGCTAATATATCTATTAGATTCTAGTGTTTCCTACGTCTCTTCCCAAATTTGCATCATATTATCTTTGGTGATTTGATAAGCAAGATTAGCAAAGTCTGTTACTTGAAAATGAAAAGATCATTAGTTAAATTTTGGTTCCGATTTTATCGTGTTGTCCTAAAAAGGTGTATCTTATTTTGAATTTCATACCACACGTTAACTACTCTTTCTACTGCAATCGATGTCAATGTAAACGGTAACTTTAATGATACACTAGATTAGTATGTAAGTTAAAATGTATGTATATTAATTTAGTACCCAAAACTAACAAAAAAATTTTGTGATATGATATTTAAAAAGGAAAATTACATTAAGGTCCTACCTAAAAAGTTTAAATACAAAACAGTCTTTATTTGTCATATTTTCTTCTCTTACTAATTTTATATCTCCTGCATAAAAATATTGTAATCAAAGAATAAAATAGTCTAAATATAGAGACAATGACATATTTGCTAATTTATAATTACCTTCTCTCCCCTTCTTTTATGAACCAAAGAAGAAATCCCCCCTCCCTTACTCTTTTCTCCAACCAAACAAAACTCATAACCTCTCTTGCCATCCTCTCCCCTTCCCTTCCCTCCCCTCCCCTGCCTTCTGTTGAACCAAACAAAGCCGGAGGGAGAAACTCCTTTATGTGCTGTATGCACTGCTCCGTATTGTTTGCCACCGAACTAATTGAAATTGAACCCATGCTTATATGTTTGATATATAGTAAGAATCACTTTATGTGGTCTTGAATCTCTACTGATTTATTTTTATTATAGGCAAGAATTCCTTTATGTGGTTTGGTCCAACTCCAATGGTGACAATTGCAAACCCAGAAGATATAAAAGAGGTTTTTAGCAACATTTCTGTATTTGAAAAGGTTCCTAGCAATCCATTGAGTAAATTTTTAATTACTGGACTCGTAGACTACAATGGTGAAAAATGGGCGAAACACAGAAGAATTATCAACCCCGCCTTTCATGTAGAGAAGTTGAAGGTATTTTTTTTTCCTTCCTTTTTTTCATGTGTTAATTCTCTTAATTAAGGTGACATATGCTTTTTGTCTTTTTCCTAATTCCAAAGCTTAAACTTGTGGCAGCTAATGTTGCCTGCATTTTGTGAGAGTTGTGATGATATGATAAAAAAATGGATGAGACTAGTGAATGAAAATGAAAGGGGTTACTATGAGATAGATGTGTGGCCTTTCTTTCAAACCATGACAAGTGATGTTATTTCTCGAACTGCTTTTGGAAGTAGTTATGAAGAGGGCCAACAAATATTCAAACTTCAAGCTGAACAAGTTCTTCTTACCCTCCAAGTCCTTCGTTCTGTTTACATCCCCGGCTGGAGGTAATTAGCCTGAGAAAAATTATTATTAAAGTCTTATGAGGCTTATATTCCTAGTAAATTATGTTAGAAAGAAGTGTTATATACTCTCTTGTGTATGTATAGATTTGTACCGACGAAGTTGAATAGGAGATTGAAAGAAATAGAGAAAGAAATACAAGCATCAGTAAGAGGAATCATTCAAAAAAGGGAGAAGGCTAGGGAAACGGGACAAGCCCCAAGTGACGATCTATTAGATATGCTTTTGGAATCTAATCACAGAGAAATCAGACACAATGGCGATAACAAGAACATGGGAATGAGCATTGAAGAAGTTATAAAGGAATGTAAATTGTTCTACTTTGCAGGACAAGAGACAACCTCTGTTCTCCTTAATTGGACAATTGTGCTACTTTGTAAGTATCCTAATTGGCAATCAAAAGCAAGAGAAGAAGTCTTCCAAGTGTTCGGTAGTCAAACTCCTGATTATGATGGCATAAATCGACTCAAAGTGGTAAGGCTATATGATCATGATGTCTTATATGTTTTATATTCATGTTCTTTAGAAGTGTGATTAACATTTTTCTTCACACTCTATTACACTAAAATAATAGTCAATGACATTTGTTTGTGTAATAGGTAAGTATGATATTGTACGAGGTTCTTAGGCTATATCCCCCAGGTCCTGTAGCAACGAGGGTCGTATCAAAAGATGCAAAACTTGGAAATTTGAGTTTACAAGCTGGAACTCGAGTTGCAATTCCAATAATTTTGATACAACAAGATTCTGAATTGTGGGGAGAAGATGCAAAGGAGTTCAATCCACAGAGATTTTCTGAAGGAATCTCTAAAGCAACTAAGAGCCAATGTTCATATATCCCATTTGCTTGGGGTCCAAGGATATGCCCAGGCCAAAATTTTACTTTGCTTGAAGCTAAAATGGCTTTGTCCTTAATTCTCCAAAACTTCTCTCTTGAATTTTCTCCATCTTATACTCATGCTCCTATTTCGGTTCTGACCCTTCGCCCTCAGCATGGCACCCATATCATTTTACGGAAACTCTAGAATTACTACTTACAGCGTCGTCATACCGTACATTCTGAGAAGCAATTTTATGCTGTGCGTTTGTGTACGCAAGTCATGAAAATATGTATGTATTTGCTGTCTATAGTCATTGAATGACTGTCCTATTATTCATATCATACAATGTTATATGCTTCTAGATGACTCCGCTAGTAAGTTGTAATTTCGTTGTGTAATTAAAAAAAAAATCATGTATTTCTGATGCAAATTTAGGTAAGGAGGGATATTGAAGTTCCTTGATTGCTTCCACTGAATTTTAAAAATAATATATGAATGGTATGTGTCTGAGACCCCAACTCTAATCTCTTCCTGTGCATTCATAGGCTGATATAGTTGTGGTGGAAAAATATTAATCAAATTTTTATTAGAAAAAATTTAAAAAAATGACCGCAGAATTTTACAATTCCAAATCAGGAATAACTATAAATATGTATTGTTATTTACTTTTTGAATGTAGTTATTTTCTTTACGAGAACAATAACCAATACTAATTTAGAAATTTTAAAATTTAATCATCATTTTTTTGGGATTTTTTCTTCTTATTAAGGCACCTTAATATTATTTCAGCACAATGATTGAGAAGTGTTTAAATTATTGGTTTTTTTAAAATAAAAAATTCCAAATTTACTTTTATTTCAAATTATAAATTACGTCTTGGAAAATGAGAAAGGGAAAAATTACATCTATCTTTAAATATGAAGAGTTTTTTTAAGGGAAAAAATTAATCAAGTTCTCAATAGTCAATAACTTAGTAAGAAGAGAAAGCAGTTCCAATTTGAGAAGTTTGTGGCAAAATCGGATCCGCTGCTCTGCACATCAGTCAACGCTGTCTCAATCATTTGCTTAATCAATTGTAAGTGGGAAAATGTGGACATGGAATTAGGGAGATAACCACTAAAATGAAAGGGGCGTTTGCCTAACTGTAAAAAAAAAAGTTTTTGAAAAGCATTTTTTTTTATAAATCGAGACAAAATACTCTACATATGTATTTCATACATGGTAAAAACACCTTTAAAACTATAGTTTTGTATCTATCCAAACACCGTGAAGATTTAAAAAAGGGAAAAAAAGCAACAATTTCTACCTGCTTGAATTGACCCAAAAATGAAACAAAGATTTGCTTAAATTGTGACCCTCTATCTTCTTCAAAGGTCAGATTTATATAACGCATGTTCATTGATCTTCGGCCATTCTCGTCGTTTAATTTGAGCCCCCCACAACTATGTTTTCTCTCTGTGCCGCCATGGAAGCTCCAGAAACTCAGTCACTGACAGTAGCAAGTTCTCTTATTGCCGGTATAGTTATCATTGCGATAGTGATAGTGATCAGAAGAGTGGTGAATTGGTTGTGGCTGAGGCCGAAACGACTCGAGAGATTTCTCAGAAGGCAGAATCTGAAGGGAAACTCATACAGACTTGGGTTCGGAGACTTGAAGGAGATGGATCAGATGATTCAAGAAGCCAGCTCTAAGCCCATCAACCTACATGATGATATCATTCCTCGTACTATTCCTTTTCATCACCAAATGATTCAAAAATATGGTATGCCTCTTCCTATGTTGTCCCTAGCTTCTCTCCTCTGTCCTGTAAAACAGTTTATTTTCATCTGTGATTTTCTTCGAAGTATTCATCTTAAGAGTGACTTGGTACTTTGTTTGAGGGAGAAACTGTTCTATATGCCTTCTGCACTGCTCTGTATTGTTCACCACTAAACTAAACCCTTCTATATGCCTTGTGTACTGCTAATATGTCTGATATATAGTGGTCTTGAATCTCTATTGATTTACTGCAGGCAAGAATTGCTTTATGTGGTTTGGTCCAAATCCAATGGTAACAATTACAAACCCAGAAGACATAAAGGAAGTGTTTACAAACATTTCTGTATTTGAAAAGATTTCTGACAATCCACTTAGTGAACTTTTAGTCAGTGGGCTTGTAGGCTACAATGGCGAAAAATGGACCAAACACAGAAGAATTATCAACCCCGCCTTTTATTTGGAGAAGTTAAAGGTATATGTACTTTCTTTTTCCATGTGTTAATTCTCTTAAAATAAGAGTAATTTATTCCTTATTTTCCCTAATTTCAAAGCTTCAATTTGTGGTAGCTAATGGTGCCTGCATTCTATGAGAGTTGTAATGAGATGGTCAAGAAATGGGTGAGATTAGTGAATGAAAATGGAAGAGGATGTTGCGAGATAGATATCTGGCCTTTCTTTCAGACTATGACCAGTGATGTTATTTCTCGAACTGCATTTGGAAGCAGTTATGAAGAAGGACAACGAATATTTCAACTCCAATCTGAACAAATTATTCTTACTGCCGAGATCTTTCGTTCTATTTACATCCCAGGCTGGAGGTAATTATCTTGCAAAAAATTATTATTAATAATATTAAAGTTCTATTGGGTTTATATTCATAGTTAATTATGCTAAAAAGAACAATTACATACTCAGTTGATTACATCCTATACTTTTGTATCTATAGATTTGTACCAACTAAGTTGAATAGGAGATTAAAAGAAATTGAGAAAGAAATACAAACGTCTGTGAGGGCAATCATTCACAAAAGGGAGAAAGCAAGGGAGGCAGGACAGGCCCCAAGTGATGATCTGTTAGATCTACTCTTGGAATCCAATCGCAAAGAAATCAGAGAGAAAGGAAACAACCAGAACATGGGAATGAATATTGATGATGTCATTAGGGAATGTAAATTGTTCTATCTGGCAGGACAAGAGACAACCTCTGTTCTCCTTAATTGGACGATCGTGCTTCTATGCGAATATCCAAATTGGCAATCTCAAGCAAGAGAAGAAGTCTTTCAAGTAGTCGGCACTCAAATCCCTGGCTTTGATGACTTAAATCGCCTCCAACTAGTAAGACTACATGAACATGATGTTATATATGTTTTAAGTGACTCAGATTCATGTCATTCAAAAGTATCATTACGTTTTGCTTTAGATTTGATTATGCTAGAATTATATCCAATGATGTTTGCGTTTGCGTGATAGGTAAGCATGATATTATATGAGGTTCTTAGATTATACCCTCCAGCTCTTACGTTGGACAGGGTCATATCAAAGGATACAAGACTTGGAAATTTGAATTTACCAGCTGGAACTCGAGTTGAGATTCCAGTCATCTGGGTACAACAAGATTCTGAATTGTGGGGAGAAGATGCAAAGGAGTTCAACCCACGGAGATTTTCTGAAGGAATCTCTAAAGCAACCAAGAGCCAAGGTTCATATATTCCATTTGCTTGGGGTCCAAGGATATGCCCGGGTCAAAATTTTGCTTTACTTGAAGCTAAAATGGCTTTGTCCCTAATTCTCCAAAACTTCTCTTTTGAGCTTTCTCCATCTTATGCTCATGCTCCTATCTCAGTTTTGAGCCTTCGCCCTCAGCATGGCAGCCATATCATTTTACGGAAGTTCTGAGATTATTAATTAAAGGTTCATCATACTGCGTTCTTAGAAGGACTTTTTATGCATATCTGTGTGTGTGTAGATATATATAGATATTCAAGTGATGAGAGTGTGTGTGTATATGCTCTCTATAGTCGTTGTAATATTCAGATTATACGATGTCATACGCTTCTAGATGGCTCTGTTAATAAGTTTTCATATTGTTGTGCACTAAAACATCCCATGTTTCTGATGCAAATTTACTGAAAAAAGGGAAATTGAAGTTCCTTTGATTGCTTCGGCTTGGAAGACAGGATGGGCCTCATGGGCTAAAAATTTTTTTTCTTTGTTTTTTTGTTTGTGGGAACAATATTGATCTTGCAGAGTGATGAAATGAAAAAGGATGGCGTCTTTTTGATGTGTTTGAAATTGAGGCAGAGTACCCTGTTTAGTGCTCTCCGTTTTTCTGGCCTTTTGACCTCTCCTCTTCGTTTATTAATAATTTAATACTCCTCCGGTTTTTAATATAAAATTTATTTGATTCTATTAATAAAGTTAGGTAAGTTGGTTGATTATAAAAAATATGACATGTTTTTCCTAAAATACCATAATCATCTTCCTTAATATCCTCTCTCCCTCTTCTACTTAATTATGATTGAGGGAGTATCCATAGAGGTAATTTAGAGAAAATTGATAAATATAAAAAAATAATACCAAAATCAACTCAACAATTAGGTCTTATATTAAGAACCGAAGGAATATATTGATTAAAATTATAAAATCATTGTTCATATAACAGGGTATCTAATTCTCTCTTCATTTAACATTGGAAAATATATATTCACCACTTTTTATTCATCAAATAAATAAATAAATAAATTTCTTAATTCACTGAACTAATCTAAGACGCACCAAAACACTGAATCATCGGTATATACACATGAATGTTCGGATTAAACGTATGCATGTACATCGTTACTTTCATAATTACTCCTCGGATACTTAATATATGATCTAATTATTGAATTGATTTTGGTTCTAAATATAAAACATATTTATCAATTTTTTCTAGGTTAGCCATATGGATATTTCCTCAACCATAATCAAGTAGAAGAGGGAAGGAAAATATTAAGGAAGATGATTATGGTGTTTTAGAAAAAAACATATCATATTTCTTATAATTAACTAACTTATCTAACTTTTTTAATCTAGTCAAATTAGTTAAATAAGTCTTATATTAAGAACCAGAGAAGTATTATTCTTTCTATACAAACGGTATATATAAAGACATATTCATTCATTCATCAGCTTTTTTTCCCATGAATGCATGTAAAATTTTTTTGTAGGGGACAATTTTATTAGATGAATCAGCACAATTTTAGAAGCTGTAAATCTAGGAGTGTTTGATTAATTAGGATTAATTTAGCTTTTGTGGAGTTTGATTAGGGCTTTCATGAACATGATAAGTACTGCTAGTCGAGTTTCGTCCAATACTCATCAAGTAAGAAATTAAAAAAAAAAGAAATTAAAAAAATAGAAATGAAAGAAAATTTTAATTTTATACATTTGTCAACAAAAACACGATTATCTTTGTTTAAAATATATTTCCCTAAAAAATAATGTTAGAGTCAAAATTAAAATTCAATAAAATTACAGATGGTCAATAACGATACAACATTTATTCTGCGTATTAAGTTTTAAGAAATTCAAAATTCAAATAAAAATAAAATACCGGAATCAATTCTACAAAACAAAAGCCGCCGGCGGCTTTAGACCAAAACCAAAAAAACAAAAAAGGCGCCGGCGGATATATGGCGGGGCAATTGCAACCTAGTTAGAAAATCTTCTTCACAAAGGCCTGAGTAATCAATCAAGCCTTTATATTATTAATATAAGTATTCACATAAAAAAACATATATAACAGCTCTAAAAAGAAAAAAAAAATTGCAACTTAAAAATCGAAGAAAAATCATAAAAGATTGAATGTCTTATAAATAACCCTGCTATACTTAAGATAGTATTATCTAAAAATATTATTTTTAAAAAAATAATACTAATCATTAAAATAGTGAGGTTGACTGTTAAAATTTTTAATATTAAAAAGCAATATTATTACAACTTTTAACTTTCAGGATATATTTACACTAAAAAAAACTTATAATGCCTAATATTTTTAAGGGAATACCTTAACCCATTGTTTTTAGGAAGAATTACAATGAGGTCCCAAACAAGAAAAATAATTAAAAAACAAGTCCTATAGGCTGTCATTCTCACTGTAAGACTTGTCATTACAGGCTATTCAAATTGTTATTAGGACTTTTTAGTGATTTTTTTTTTTTCTGTGAGACTTGAATGTAAATCTCCCTTGTTTTTACTGTGAACTATTGTCCCTACCTTCACGTTTCTTTAAAAAATAAAAAATGCATCCATATGTCACCTACAGCTATATATATGTATATGTCAATCATAAAATTCAATGATTCTATAATAATCGATCCTAACAAACATAACAATAGTACTAATATAATAAATAGCTCGATGGGACGGATTAACAAAACACTCAACCGTAAAATACTTATTTTTTCCTAAACCAAATAGCAATGTAATCATTTCTCTTATTCTTAATATAAGATCTATTTAATTAATTTGATTAAATTGAAAAAATTAGATAAGTTAGTTAATTATAAGAAATATAATATTTTTTCTTAATATGCCATAATTATTTTTTTTAATATCATCTCTCATTTTCCTACTCGATTATGATTGAAGAAGTATTAGTATAAGTAATTTAAAAAAATTAATAAATATAAAAAATATGTATTATATTCAGAATTAAAATCAATTTAATAATTAGATCATATATCACGTACATTACTAAAATTCAATGGACCTCCTAGAGTAGTAGTGTATATTACCTGTTAGGATAGGTTACTTGAGACAAAAGCGGCCGGATTTATTTGGTTGTCGGATCATTAGATTATACTACTTTGATCCTAAATATAAGAGTGAGTTGACTAATTTGAGTAAATTAAGAAAATAAGTTAAGTTAATTATTTGTAATAAATAGTTGTATCTTTCTTAAAATATTCTTGCTAATTAAATATATTAATTGGAATTATTATTATTAAAAGGACTACCTGAAAAAAAAAAAGATAAACATAAGAGATAAAATAGATTGAGGTCTTATATTTATATTTAGAATCAAAATAAAAATTAAATAAAATTTTATAGGTAATATGTGGCAAAATGTGGACAAGGGACCAGGGAGAGAGAAGAGAGGAAAAAGACCGCAATTCTACCTGATGGAATCGACCCAAAAAAGAGAGAGAAAAAGAAAATTTTACTTGTTGGGACCCTCTCTTCTTCAAAGATATATATACGACGCATGTTCATGGACTGATCCTCGGCGATTGTCGTTGTTTAATTTGAGTCCCTTATACTCTGTTCTCTCTATTCAGCCATGGATGCTCTTATTGCTGGTGTGCTTATCGCTGTCATAGTGATAGTGATCGGAAGAGTGGTGAATTGGCTGTGGCTGAGGCCGAAACGACTCGAGGGATATCTCAGAAGGCAGAATCTGAAGGGAAACTCATACACACTTGGGTTCGGAGACTTGAAGGAGATGGCTCAGATGATTCAAGAAGCCAAATCTAAGCCCATCAATCTACATGATGATATCATTCCTCGTATCATACCTTTTCATCATCAAATGATTCAAAACTATGGTATACCCCCTCCTATGTTGTCCCCAGCATCCGTGATTTTTCTTCAAAGTATTGTTCTTAAGAATGACTTGGCGCTTGCTTTGAGCATGAAACTCTTCTATATTTCCTTATGCACTGCTCCGTATTATTGTTCGCCTAACCCATACTAACAATGTCTGATATATAGTAAGAATCAGTTCCTGTGGTCTTGACGCGTCTCTACTGATTTATTTTGATTGCAGGTAAGAACTTCTTTATGTGGTTTGGTCCAAGTCCTGAGGTGATAATTGCAAACCCAGAAGATATAAAGGAGGTTTTCAGCAACATTTCTGTATTTGAAAAGATTTTTAACAATCCACTCGGTGAACTTTTAGCTAGTGGGCTCATAGCTAGGCTACAATGGTGAAAAATGGATGAAACACAGAAGAATTATCAACCCAGCCTTCCATTTGGAGAAGTTAAAGGTATATTTTATTTCTTTTTTCCATGTGTTAATTCTCTTAAAGTAGGAGTGATTTATACCTTTTTTTTTCCCTAAATTCAAAGCTTAAATTTGTGGCAGCTAATGTTACCTGCGTTCTATGAGAGTTGTAACGAGATGGTAATGAAATGGGTGAGATTGGTGAATGAAAATGAAAGGAGCTGTTGCGAAATAGATGTATGGCCTTTCTTTCTAACTATGACCAGTGATGTTATTTCTCGAACTGCTTTTGGAAGCAGTTATGAAGAAGGCCAACAAATATTTCAACTCCAACATGAACAACAAGTTCTCACCCTCAAGGCCCTTCGTTCTATTTACATACCAGGCTGGAGGTAATTAGCCTGAGAAAAATTATTATTAATATTAAAGTCCTGTTAAGTATATATTCCTAGCAAGCTATGTTAAAAAGAACAATTATATACTCACTATTTCACCATGCTTGCGTATGTATAGATTTGTACCCACTAAGTTGAATAGGAGATTGAAAGAAATTGAGAAAGAAATACAAGTATTGGTGAGAGGAATCATTCATAAAAGGGAGAGAGCTAGGGAGGAAGGACATGCCCCAAGTGATGATCTATTAGATTTACTCTTGGAATCCAATCGGAGAGAAATCAATGAGAAAGGCAACAACAAGAGCATGGGAATGACCATTGAGGATGTCATAAAGGAATGTAAATTGTTTTACCTAGCAGGACAAGAGACAACCTCTGTTCTCCTTAATTGGACGATTGTATTACTATGTCAGTATCCCAGTTGGCAATCTCAAGCAAGAGAAGAAATCTTTCAAGTATTTGGCACTCAAACACCTAATTATGATGACTTAAATCGTCTCCAAGTGGTAAGACTATATGAATATGACATTTTATATGTTTTAAATCTTTTATATTCATGTGATTCGAAAGTATCATTAACAACTTTTTTCACACTTAGTCAATAATATTTTTGTTTGTGTAATAGGTAAGCATGATATTATACGAAGTTCTTAGGTTATACCGTCCAGCTCCTATGTTGTCTAGGATTGTATCAAAAGATGCAAGACTTGGAAATATGAATTTACCAGCTGGAGCTCGAGTTGGGATTCCAATAATTTGGATACAACATGATTCTCAATTGTGGGGAGA